ACGTGAACCCAACCCTACATATATATATATATATATATATATATATATATATATATATATATACACACCCCATATAATCATGCATGCATAAATATAAAATCCATGCACACCCATATGCATAAAAATAATGCATACAATATAAAATGCATACACATTTTCACATATATATATATATATATATGCATACATCCACATGATTAATTATAGCAATTAATCACATATTCATGTAACTACATAATCAAGTAATCACATATCAATTACCTCGGGTGTATAACCAGGACTCGGTTATCACATAATAAAATATTATTTATTTCTCTAAAGCATTTACTTTCAATGCCTCTTAGTGGTGGGAAAGATTAAAATATTGCTTCTCTCTTAAATATTGGGTTTTACTGATTTCTTCAAATTTGAGGATTTTCACATTCGTTTTTTTTTTTTTTCTATATTTTAGCATTCACTATAACTAAGGGTGTATGCAGGTTGGGTTGGACGGTTTATGTAACACCCCTAGTCGTGCATGGCCGAGGACATGATGCATGACACACTTATGACCTAGAACACAATTATAATCAAATTAAATATTAGGGTCGATATCAAGCACTTAAACATTAACCTAAAAGATAACATAAATGGAATTTCATAATGTAACCACAACCGGATAATTACAAAGCTTATAACACCTGTAAAACAACTAAACTATCAAAAGATCCATCAATTGTAACTTCAGGTCCAATCAATCAGGTTCCAATGTTTCCCCAAGTCTTTTCTGCTTAATCTACTGTTGATCTTCTCTCTCAATGATTTGATGATGATCCTTTTATCTATCGAAGTGTATTATTTTTGTTATTCATATTCAGAGATCTTCACTGAGCTTGTTCAGTGATCGCTGAACATGCATTATAATTCATTCAGAGACCAATATACTTCAAGAAGACGAAACTCACACTACAGATCCATTAGTGATGTCGAAGACATAAACTGAAGATTAAAGACCAGCAACTTCGTGATCTGAAGCGGTGTTCAGTGATAACAAGCTCGTCTACAAATGTGTGAAGTCTGCGTAAGGTTCAGCAAATACTAATTAGACCTTTCAGCGTCATTCTAGTGTTCAGTGATCAAATGAATCTTGCCAAGCAAGATTGTTTTTGTCTTGTCCTTTACACACAAAGGACAAACTCATACCTTTCTAAGTATAGTGCAGTACGGAGCCACTCTTTTGACTCTAAACGTGCTTACCTACTTTATGAAAGAGGACTGCTCATATACAGCCAAAAGGACTGCATACTGTAGCAAAGGAAAAACTTTCCTCTAAAAGCTTGCCACGTGTTATGTAGTTTCTGAATTGCATTTAATGCAATGGATATAAATAGTTGAGTGGTTCTCAACTCAGTTATCATATTCTTCACTAAAAACTTACCCAAGAAGTTACTTCTCTCTCTACTCTTTGTCTAAGAGAAAGACCCACTTTAACAAGTGGAGCACATTTCTTCTTACCTTATTTCTTGTAGCAAATATTTTCTTATTGCTATCTGTATTTTGTGTGTATCTTAGATTGTTTAGATAGGTTATGTATTTTATCTCTTTCGTAAACAATCTGTAAAATTTGTATTGATCTTCTTTATCAATTTATAATTTTAAAAGTGAAATTTAATGTGTTTGTATTCATCCCCCTTCTACGAATTGTTAACTATAAACTCTTGTAGATCTGGCTGGGACCAACAAGTGGTATCAGAGCAGTGTTTGCTTTTTGTGTTGTATTGTTGTTTTATTGGTGTTTTATTATCTTTTCTTCTCTAGATAATTTATTTCTTTCAAAATGGCTTTGCAAAACACTAGCACCAACTTTCACAATAGTGGTTTTCTTGCCAAACCTCCCCGGTTCATTTTGTCTCTGGAAAAAACCAGATGTCTCTCTTCTTGGAAGGTGTGGATCCTGAGATTTCATACTATATAGAGAATGGACCTTATGTTCCATCCTCTATCTCTCCACCAGTTCCTGCAACTGCTACGACTGTCATGATTCCGGAACGGCAGATTGCAAAGCTCTCTCATCAATGGAGTAATGAAGACAAGAAGAAGGTGGCTTTAGACACTTGTTCGAGGTCCTTAATAGCCATGGCTCTTCCTAGTGAGGTCTATCACTCAGTGATGAAGCTTAAAACCTCGAAATCCATGTGGGACACTCTATGTGTTCAATATGAAGGTACTTATGAAGTACAAGAATCGAGGAAGTTTAATTTAGTAAGACAATATGAGAGTTTTCTTTGTGGAAAAACTTAATCTTTGTATAAAGTACATCAACGATTTAATTGTCTTCTTATTGATTTGAGGACAGTTGGAAGAGAATATTTCAACTCAGAGACACTGACAAAATTCCTTGAATGTTTTCCAGAAGCATGGGATCAGTATACCATATATCTCAAGATGTCCAAGAATATGTCCTTCTTTTCTCTTAGTTCTCTTTATGGGATATTGCTTAATCATAAGCAACCCCATCAACTAAAGAAAAATCTTCTCAAAGACTCCAGAGAAATGAAAAACTCTCCGTTAGCTTTGATCTATGATAGCCCTTCAGCTGACCCTTCTATTTCTTCTATTCCTTATATTTCCTCTGTGGCTATCACTGAGTTAGAACAGTCTAACTCTGAGGGCTTGTTAGACGCTCTTCTTTTCAGAGTTTGATGAGTTGCTGGCCCTTCTAACTAACTCCTTCAGGAGGTTCGCCATAAAAAGTAACTATCAGAAATCTTCTTCGTTGACCTTAACTGAAAAGCCAAAGTCAAACCCCATTGATAAGGCTTCAATAAGTTGCTACAACTGTCAACACAAATGTGACTTTGCAAGTGAATGCAGGTTGATAAAAATTGTGACACCATCTTCCAACCTCTCATCCTCCTTTAGGCCTCAAAAGAACAAGTACCTGAAACTGAAGGAGAAGTACAAGAAGATGAAGAATCTTCAGCGTAAAGGAAAATGTCTTGTCGTTGAAGAGCATGATTGGGCTGACTCTTCTAAAGAATCTTCCTCTAACGAGGAAGACATGGCCTACCTCTGTTTAATGGCCAAGGATGTTAAAGATGAACCATTAGAGACATCAACCTTCAGCGATCCCTCGTCATCAACCTCTGCTCAAGTATGTTCCCTGAATGAACCCTCTTCTTCTTCTGATAGCCTATCTGCACTAGATGTGCTGACGGTTGACCTTTACAATCACCTGAATGGAAAGTCCAAAACTAAAAAGCATAATCTTGATCTTCAAGAACAATTAGAAAAATGTCATTCAAAGATCAAAGAGTTGACCAAGATTGAGGAAAATCTTAAAGATCAGGTCATTGTAAACCAGACCATAAGCATCGATGTTGATCCTCTCTCATTGATTTGATGATAATCTATTTTACCTATCGAAATATAGTGTTTCTGTTTATTCAGTTTCAGTGATCATCACCGAGTCTGTTGAACATGTATTGTAACTCTTCAGAGACTGTTATACTTCAAGAAGACAAAACTCACACCAAAGAACCTTCAGTAATGTCGAAGACAGAAACTGAAGATTAGAGACTAGCACGTTCATGATCTAAAGCGGCATTTAGTGATTACAAGCTCGTCTATATATGTGTGAAGACTGCACAAGTTTCATCAAATGCTGAAGAGACCTCCAGCATCATCCCAACATTCAACCGCCACCGCATAGATGGATCACTCTTACGCGGTCAACGAACTCGATCCCTTCCCACCTTAGATCGAGTTGGCATGGTAGCCAGGGCCTCTTCCCCGGAAATCATTCCCATCCAGCCGAACTGCCCGAAAAGGCCAGTGAGGTTCCAACTGTAGTGAAATGAAGCCTCTTTCTTAGCATAGGGCCTTTAAAGTGAAAGAGCTTGCTTGTGAGCCTTCTTGCTTATTGGACTTGTCCTCAACTCAACCAAAGAATGCTAATGTGGGCAAAGAGCTTCCAGGCCTCTTGTTTTATAGCGGAAACTCCTACAAGAGGGGAAGAGAGGTTGAAAGCTTGAAACCGTTTCTAAGCTCTGACTTCTTAAGTTCAAGAGATGATGCAGGGGAATCGGCAGCTTCAAGTTGGGCTTTGATCTTTCAGGGAATTGCAGAATCCGTCTCTCTCTTAGGTTCTAGCCCGCTTGACCTAACCCCCAACAAACAAGGAAAGGATGCCTCTCGGGGGCATCTGAGAATTATTCGAGCCGTCTTGTGCTATATGTACTAAGATTCTTCAGAAATGTATGCCCCTTAGGTCGCCAAACTACAACGAGAATTTCGCCAAGCGCCAGCCGCGTAGGGCGACCGGGCCAGAAAGGCTTCCAAAAGGTCCTTAAGCCCCTCCCATCCCGTCCCACTACGAATCTGCCTTTGTGTGTGTGAACACCTGCAACATTCCCCTCCCTTCACACTTATTGATCATCTCCATATGTGTGCATGTGTGTGTTTGTCAGAAATATCATGGACGTCTATATACAAGATTGGTGCATGTAGAACCAATATCGCTAATCTTGTTTCGTAGTACGAAGATGAAAACCAAAGACCATAGTAGAAACATATAAGAACTTGGGTTTATTCTTTTATTTTTGATTGTTGAATTCATAGATTTCTTTGAGGTTTGCTTTGATATTGTTTGTGTATACAACATATAAAAAAGTCAATTTTTGATTTTAATTTGTTGATTGATTTGAAAACACAAAAATATGGTGGTGTATGTGAGGAAATGGGTGCTGGAAATGGTATGTGTATAAAGAGAAATGGGCATGGGAAAATGGTACATGTACAAGCAGAAAGGAGTGTTAGAATTTTTGTTCTTCAAAAAAATCTTAGATCTAAGGAGAGGAGGCCATAGCTACAAAAGGGTCGAAGAAAACGATCTCCGGAACGCACCGAATTAATTCCCTTCTAAATGTGGGCATGAAATAAAAAATATCAAAGGTTATGATCCCTTCTTACGCTTCTCATCGTAACTTCCTTCTCACGCGATCCTTTGCCTCATTCCATATGCCCAAAATTTGGTCCTATCTTTTCATATACATCTACAAATCGAGAACAATAAGCCAATTTTCAGCTGAACCAAAATTTGCAAGGATCTGCAAACTTTAAAATTAAATTTTGCAAGTACATGAAATTCAAATGTTTTTAATCCAGGAACAGTACAAACGATTATTTTTCTCTTCACATCCTCGAGATTTGGAGCGGAAACGCAGCTTCAAGAATCGCATCATCGCTAATCGACAGAATTTGGAACTTCTCCAGGAAGCCACGTTTCTCCATAAGAAGCTTACGACAGTTTTCAGCAGCTGTAACTCCAGATGAGTAAGCTCCATGCACAGATCCTTGGTTCTCCATGCTAACAGCTTCACCTCCAAAGAAGAGATTGCCCAAAGGAGCGCGAAGCCTGTCGTATATATCCGTTGGTTTTCCTACCACATCATACGAGTAGCATCCAAGGGAGTTGGGGTCTGTTCCCCATTTCGATACAAGATACTGAACCTGTAACAATTATTCACAATGTTAACAATGAACCTGGTTTACATCTGAGAATGCATAAAAATGCAACGTATTCCTATTTTGTGTAAATGTTTTGAGGCATCGCGTCTCATAGCATTTTCATGCAATTTGCCCTTTTGTATGTATCATACCAAAGTTGGTTATCTTGTTCATCTTTCCTTTAATTCTTGACAAAAACTCTTTACTTTTCAGCAACGACTATATATTGCCAAGAAAATATGCTATCATCAAAGAAACACGTGAAGATTTCAGATTAATAGAAGAACAAAATGCATCCAAAAGCAACAAAAATTTGATTTAATTCCTATTTAGTGTAACGAATAATTTTTTTTCTCAACCAAAGTAACAAAGTTCCAAACTTTCCTAATTTGTACCCATTTGACCAATAACCTGCTGGTCTTGTAACATTTGATAATGTGGATACCCGTTCACAATAGGTTTACGAAATGCTTATGTAAGAGTTACAGCAAAATGGACGATAAGCTTGACATCCACATTGTCAAATGTTACCAGATCAACACATCACCAATCAAAATGAGTAACTTGGCTACATTAATGGAAAAAATGAATATTTGTAACACTAAATAGGAACTAAGACAAACCTCGTTGCCTTTTGATGCGTGTTGCCCCTTGATAGAATGACCATAAACACAAATATGCTTAGGAGTTGTTTACTAAACACTTAATGCCTCTTACCGGGTAAAAGGCATTTACCCGGTCAGAGATGATGGTCTTTACCAACAATCTTATCGTGTGCCATTTTGTTAACCGAGAATCTTACCTGGCAAGTGCTTACCCAATTGGTGTTGGTTAATGGCCCCTTAGTATTGTGAACTGTAACTCCAATTACGAAATTATTTATCAACAGAAAGAGTTAAGACTTACAGGCTCGGTTGCTTCTGGAAACATTTTTTTGAGCTGCAACATTGCAAAATTAGCAGCAGCTTCCTCAGATAGCTTCTCAAGGTCATAAGCAAATCTTCCAGCGGCCATGTAGACAAGAACAGGATGGCCTGTTGCCTTGTGTAGATTTAGAAAATAGCCACAAGAATATGAAGTTGGAGCAACCGTGCCCAACAATTCAACGTTTGGCCAAAACACGTTATCAAAACGTAAGGCAATCTTATTTTCATTGCCCATGCCAAGATCTGATATAGCAGAAACTTTCCACTCTGGTAACTTAGGCTCAAACTCAATTAAGTTGGCCTTTAATACCCCAATAGGAACCGTAATAATGGCAGCATCTGCAACAAATTTTCTTCCACCCTCTATTGTAACCATCACCTCATTAGGCCCATTCGATATCCTTGTAACCCTGATTTAATGTAAATGAATTCAATTTCAAGTTGCATAGCCAATGTAATATCAAGACTTGTTATTTATTGGTTGGCTTATAATTCCACCAATTAGCTTTTCTTGTTATTTATTAGCTTATTACAATCGCAAGAATATAGTTTGGCCAAGTAAGACTGTAACATTAGTTTGGAAACAAAACCTGTGATTTAAACGGATATCAATGTCCTTTGACAGAGCCTTAAGAACAGGATAATAACCCTCAACCATAAGTCCATGCCCACCAGTGAGAACATTTTCCTGCACATAGAAGACCTCCTTTAGTCCCTACTCCCTAATCATTTATCAGTTGGTGCAGAAGATTGATATAAAAATCTTTATTTTTCGACCTGTAAAACTAATGGCCATCTGTCCAACTTCAAATATACATATATATATATATATATACATATATATATATATATATATATATATATATATAATGTGAGTTGCAAAGGTGCTTCAACTCAACACATTCTATAACAATCCAGTTGTGCACATACAATGCCCAATAATATAGTAATAACGTATATTTATATAAGTGAAATATATACTTTTATACTTTTGTACTTTTAACAACTCATAATGATTAAAATATTAAAAAAGGTTACTACTGGTTTCATCCAGCCGAAGAGGGATCTCATACACTTCACAGGAAGAGAGGCTAATGTATAACTTCTGTCTCCTACTTCCTAAAGACATGAGATATTACAAAAATTTGACAGAGTGGTATCTTTAATACCAACTTGAAATTGTGGTTCAACAACCAATTTTATGAACACACAATTTTCGCCAAAAACAACACTAGTTCTACTCTCAACAAAGTATTGTCATGTAAAACCACGAACCACAAATTTGTAATCTTTCAAGAATGACATAAGAGTAAAAAGGCTTCAATATATGAGTTGGATATAAAGAAAACTTTTGTTCAAACATAGATAATGTAAGCACATCACCAAGACTAGACATTGGTGTTTTGAGCTCCAACACCCCACGTTATGTGTAAGGGCATGGTTTACTTGTACATTATATGTAGAGAAATGCTTTAATATCGCATGATTGAGGTGTTTCTTGAATTTGATGACCTAGTTCAAAATTAGTCTTTCATAGATGTTGTCTTAAGTACTACAACTCACTTTTAAAAGCATAATTTTTTTTAAAAGGCGAATTCAGACATGTTTGGATGCATTTCAATTACAAAAGACTTTAATTTCCTTGTTCACGCAAAAGTTAACTTTTCAAACTACAGACTTCAGTATATGCTTTTAGTAATCAAGCATAATAATGTAGCTGTGGCTAGTAAGATATGATTTAAATAGCATGTTAGCATTACATGACAAATGAAATACGAGTAATGTGGCATGCATTCATCCTACAACAATGTTTAATCTGCAAAATTGATATAGGTCACCAATAACACCTTCGCAAGTTGCGGAGATGTTGGAACTAATTTACAGATTTGGTCCCTGCACTTGCAAGCCTAGTTCAGAAACTTCTTTTTTTAACATTTTAACCCCTCCACAAATTGCATACCTGCCACTTGCAGACCTAGTGACATTTTGGTGATTTTGGGAGAGAAATGGCTAAGAGATGAAACCAACATCTGAAAATGGCTATTTTAATTAATTTCCCTTTATTGCCCACCCTCTGAATTTGAAAAGTCAAATGTTAATCAGGTGACTGAAGTGTAACAAATGCTGTGGTAAAAAACTAACATGATTGCATATACAAAATAATGTGAGAAAAAAAAAATACTCGTGTATACTTTATATAGTTGGCATGTAATAGTAAGTAGAGCAATTCTTGAAGACTCATAACTCATCAATAGGTAATATATACATACTTTATGGAAATTGATTCTTTATTTATTTTGTTTGTTCCACTCAAGTCTCCCAACAGTCAACATGAAAGAAAGGTTCTTAAATCTTCAGACATTCATTCCTGCTGTTCTGGTGGTGGTGTGCCACAAGTGCATTATAAAAAAACATCACTATAAATATGTTTTTTACTATAATTCTTGTTGATGAAAAATGGCTGAACATATGACTCACCTCATCCCAGTTCTTTAGAGATATCATATCTAAATCTGCAGCAAACCAAGCTTCCATTCTACATATGTACCACTGCAGCACTTCATAAGCAAGACCCTCTTGTCTGCAAGAGATATGAGATATTAACTTGCATATCACCTGTTAAGCATTGATTTGAATTGAATATACCTTAATTCTTGATGCCTTTCCAATACAACCGATATTGCCTGAAGAACGGAAAGATCATGATGATTTTCATCCCTCACCTTTTCAGTCTATGAAGAGTGTAACTTCATCAGAAACAGCACAAAGAAAAGATGAAATCCACATGAGATTTTAGAACTAAAATACCCACCTCCTTGAGAATTTTCTTGAATGCTTCTCCAACTTCAATGACTATCTGTTGAGGAACCTGATGACCTTCCTTATCAAAAAGCATGTAGCTGGACAAACAAAATCATCATAGTGTTATCTGATTTAGCTAATCACATACAAAAGAAATCTTCAGTGCAGGTTGTGTAAAAAACTCAATAAATTGATCATCCCCATAAGAACTTACTAATGCTTCAAGACTTCAAGTGCTACCCTACTCAAGATCATGGCATTCTACTCAAAGTACATCAATATAAAAGACAGATTGGTGCCAGCTAAAGTTCTAGACTACATTTTGATTCAGTAATGACATATGTGTTGCTTTTTAAGAGCTCAAGATGGAAGAACCAAAATGAATGCCTACCATAAGAAGAAGAAAGACAAAAACAACTAAATAAATGGCCCTTTCAGTCCTAAAATAGACACGTGATTCTGGTACTTGGACTAAAACAAAAAACGCGGCTCTCCAATATAAGATTTCTTCATAAGAACTAAATATCCTTTTCTATAGAAGATATTTTTTGAAAACAGAAATGCAGAAAGGTTAGAGAGAATAACCAACAGGGCATGAATTACCTCTCCAAATCATGGTCATAGAGCACTGAATTGTCACCACTTGTCCGATATAATGCAAGGCCTAAATGACGTATCAATGGGGCCAAAGGATTTTCATTGCAGACACCATGTAACCTGAAAAATGATTCACATCATACCTTTACAAAATCCATACATCAATTTATAAATTCTTATGTTGTAATGTAGGCAGCAGAAAACATGTAAAACTTGATAAAACTTATTTTATATTTTGTGCAAGATTTATTACAACAAAACAAGAGCTGCAATTGCCCACACATTTGCAATACTTGATAAAACTTATTTTATAATTTGTGCAAGGATTATTACAACAAAACAAGCAGCAACCAGATCAGCTATGTGCTCCATGATAACTAACAAGTAAGGATCAAAATTAACACTGCTCACACTGGTGGTACAATCATAAATTTTAAGGAGAAAAAACCATTAACAGATGACGTGCCATGCAATGGGGCATATCTCATGACTAGTGCCATAGCCACAAGATACTGAGAAAAAGACCAGAGATGACAGTCTTCATCATAATGTCCCTGGCATCAGCGTTCATTGATTGTACAGTGAGATACAGGCAACTTGCAGAACATGCCACCCACTTCCCCTTCCCCCATCCCACCTGACCCGTTTTGGAAGGTTGACAATCCTACAAAATCTTTGTTGAATTGGGTGGGCAGCTCACTCGAAAAAAACCATCAAATACCCAACCTCCCCAAAAAGAAATTCTTATGACAAGCTACAAGTGCCTATGAATGTTAAGAGAAGACCTACACAAGCTGAGCAAAATGACTACAAAGAGATTATTTGACACGAGAAATGTACAACTAATCCAATTTTAGAGTGCAAATGTGCAAGTTTTATGGTACCAATGAGAAAACAGTGGAATGGATGGACCCTATTTCATGAGCCGCTATTATAAGTGGCCCAATAAGCATTTTGAACCTACAAGTGGAACTCATGCACTATCACCACCTGTCACAATAATATTTGAATTTTAAGCTATGGTCTGCATATTGTAGTGAATTTACAAATATAGAGAAAAACTTGATGAAGGTTACTCATGGAAAGCATGCTTTTTAAAAATAAGCTGCGGAAAGAGGGAGTGTTTGATTCGGGGTTTAAAAAAAGCATGGAATCAAGTAAAAAAGGGACATTAGCAACTTGCCATGATGCTCCCATATCCACTGGACAACCGAATGAGTAATTAGTGTGAATGCGGCCACCAATTCTATCCCGTGATTCCAATAACACTACCTGTATGGGTACACATTAACAGCAAGAAAAAGAAAAAAAAATAAAGCCAGTGCCTAAGAAATTTTGAACTTCATAAAAGATCACCTCAAAATCAGCATTATTGAGTATATGAGCAGCGGCTATCCCCGAAATACCACTTCCTATCACGATGACAGAAGGTTTTGAACTCTGTTGCCTCTCAATACACGATGCAAAAGCGTCTAGAAAAAAGAAAATCTATAGATTAGCAAGAAAATTGATTTTCCCAAGGTAGATAAATAAATCAACTATGTATCACGGACACATCAGATGGTTGCCAACATAGCCTTTACACTAAAAACATACCGACTTCAAGAATCGTAAGTGATCAATTTCAACATTGTATCATACAAGTTCGAAAAGAGTAAATTTGATAGCATGCCAATATCTCACTCTTTCAATTAAATTTGTGTTAAGAGGGAAAATATATATGAGGGCTTGTCATCCTCTTTTCACAATCCACCAGAGTCCACACTCCTATATTTATTTCAAGGAATTCCTTACAAATCCCTTCCCCTTTTTGTAATAAAAAAAAACAATATAAATACATCTACATGTATAAAAGTCGCCATGTTCAAGATGTAAAGTTAGGGTTTTTTAGGAATTGGTCGCCTCATGTAGACATATCATGTCTGTATTGGCATCATTGGTGCATAGCAAGCTGGCATAAGAAACGAGTGCTTATTTGAGAAGTACAGCCACAAATTTCGCAAAAGTTTAGATGTTTTTAAATACATTAAATAGGTAATATGGTTAACAAAAATCGTTGCAAAGAGTATGACCGATGATATTTCATGTTCAAGTATTAAGAGAAAGAAATGCAAGCTTGGAAACAACAATTAAACAGAAATCCCAAACAACCAAAATTTGATTTTGTGGCTACAGTTACTCCTTTAATATGAATACTTGTTTGAAAGCAATACAGTTCCTTACCTAGTTATAAAATGGCATATAGACAAACTATGAATTAGCCAACAAATAATTGAATGATGACAAGATTATAATCTAAAATCATCAACTATACAAGCTGTATAAATAAATATTTTATCGTCCTACATGTCATACTTGACTGCATTTACATAATCCCTCAGCCCCATGATTAAGGTCCTCATTTCACTATGGAAATTTAAACTAGTGGTATATATAATCAAAATTTGGCATAAATGCTTACAGATTTTTTACTTTTTACCTACAATCACAGCCATAACAAACAGACTATTATTACTTTTTTGCATTTCTTTTACCAATCTAATAACTGAAATGTATATTACTTTTTTGGTAGAAAAACATGTTAAGAAATAATGCGTCTAAAATCACACAACAGCAAGCATCATACATGTTTAAAATTGTACAGGATTTTTTCCACTAGAATTCCATGAGCTACACAGTCTTCATTTCTAGGTAAACAATTCCCAATCATTCTTCTTGAGCATAATTAAATTTGTTAAGAAACCATTCTACATTGTTGTGAACTCCCATCAGAGTGAATAAACAACAAAATTTACATCTTACTATAAATCACTTTCAAACATCAATTAATGATGAAATTCCCAATAAGATACACATTATGTTCAAGGATTGCGCTCAATTTAGCATATGGATCAATCAAATAACATACTCATCAAAAATTAGAAATCTCCTTTAGTACCCATAGCTTTTTCACACATGCATATATACACACATAAACAAGAATCTAAGAAATGAGGGCATGAGATTTACCAGATATCGAATCTTTGAACTCCATCAAGAACTAATTCAATAAAAACAAGATCGAGAAAAGAAACACCAAAACGCAGCGGATTGAGGAAGGGGACGAATTACAAGAGATGGGTTACAAGTTTAAATCGAAATTGAAGGGTGTATAGGATTAGGGAAATTAGAGACCAACTGAAAAGAATGATAGAGAATAAAAATCAAAAGGCCGGCAATAAAGCGGCTAAAATTAGAACCCCGGAGTTTGTCAAACCAGCTCATAATCTAAGTCGGACGGAGAAAATCAAACCGGCAACGGTGAATGTTCGTCGATAGCATAGATCGATTGATCAATCAAGCAACGTTTTCTCTCTCTATCTCTCTCTCAAATTTCTCTCTCTAAATTCCCCTACGTCTAGGGTAAAATTGTGTATATATATGCGAACAACAGGAAGAGAGGACGAAGATGATGATACCCACCGACTTCTCACCAAAAGGCAAAAGCATGCGTCAGGTTTAGAGATATTTTCACTTAGACACCCAAACTTATATATATTAGCAAAAGTACCCCCTTAGATTATGATAATTCCCATTTCTACCTCGTAAAATATAATTTATAACAATTTTCTATTTTGAATTATGTTTAATAAAGTAAAACATTTTTTTTGTTTTTTTAGTTTAAGAAACTACGTATTTTGGTTTTATGTAAAGAGTAAATTACGTTTTTAGTTCATGTGATTTGCTAAAAATTATGGATTTCATCTCTGTGGTTTTGAAATTTTAATCTTCTAACCATAAGTGTTGTGTCTGATTGGTTTGAGCTTGGCTCCAAAGGTCAAAATTACTTGGAGGTCTGAGGTTCAAATCCAAGGAGAAATAAAATTTCTCTTGTGGCCACGTAGATTCAAATGCGGTGACTTCGGGCTATCTGCAAAGCAGATGGTCGCCCTGGGATTGAAAAGCTCGCATAGCATATTGGATATACAGGTTAATCAAAAAATATGATCTTCATCCGCACAGTTTGCAATTCATTTCTTTTGTCGTCCTTGAGACCAAAACATTACTTTTAAGTAAGAAAAACTAAAATAGAAATGAATTGTAAACCATATGGACAAAAAAAAAATCTTAAATCATAAGGCTAAAAAAGTAATGAATTATAAGCCATAAAGAATAAAAATCATAATTTTAAAACCATAAAAACGAAAATATAGATTTTCAATAAACCACAAGAACTAAAAAGGTAGTTTACTCTTATGCAAATAAGAAAATATATTTTTTATTAAACTTTTTTGTTTGGAACAGTTTATTACATATATTAAAATAAACTGTTGGAAAAATAGGTTTCCTAAAATATTAATCAGATAAAGTATGTTTCATTTTGAATTACTTTCTTATTTTTTTTTGGCCATAAGCGATCCCTGGAGAAGATTGCGAACAGCTTGTAGAGACAAGGAAGGGTGTAGTGAGTGACGAAATGCTTCGAGAGAATCAATGATTGCATCTTTGTTGTACTGCTAGTACTAGTACATCTGAGAATAAATTAGTTTATTTTTTAAGTTTACTGAGAAAAAAAAACCTGGTTGAAAATAGCTTATTAGGGTCTTTTCACTTTTTTTGAATTATGTCGCTTATATTTTTTACATAAATGTTTCTTATATTTTTAGGTCACTTTGGCTATGCAATGGTAAATTAGCTGATATTGTAGTTGTTGGTTTATAAGACAGTTGTTGTTTGAAAACTTAGTTTTGAGCTAATAAACTAATCTTGTTGTTAAAAGTTAGTTAATAAATCAGATAACAGATTTAAACAACCTAAACTAACATGCTGCAAAAATACTTAATTCTAACATAATATAATAAACTAAAACAAATCATTAATGCATCTATAATGTTAAAATTTCGAATGTATATATACAAATACAATTAATTTGATACTTCAAATAAATTTTCAAATAACCCAATAATCAATCAACATAAAAAAAACGGTCTAGTTCATAAAAGATGGTTTAAATAGTTAGTATTCAGTAATGTTGGGCCACCTATTGATTTGGTGATGACCCACTGATCTGTTCCTCTACATTAGCAGCACTAAGTAGTTATTGGTTCTTTGTATATTGGTGTCTTGGTACATACTTAAGCCATTGGCAAAATCGAAGACTAGCCGATATGAAGACAGAAGGTCACCGATGCGGTGTTGTGGATCAACTGTCTAATATATACACCAAGACTCCAAAGTAGCTGAAATGAATATTGAAAATATTTTGATGCTACAARCCRATTGAARRAAGATCTTCATAGACCGAAGATTGAAAATCTTCATGGGCTCAAGATTGAAGATCATGGACCGAAGATTGAAGATCTTCATGAACTCAAGATTGAAGATCATGGACCGAAGATTGAAAATCTTCATGAACTCAAGATTGAAGATCATGGACCGAAGATTGAAGATCTTCATACTCAAAATTGAAGATCATGAACCGAAG